ATAGTCCAGGGGGGGCCACGGCCCCCCCAAAATTTGGGGGAAAAAATTAGGGTGCTCTATTCCTCAAGTCCCCTCAAAATTTTTGGGGGAAAAATTAGGGTGCTCTATTCCTAATTTGGGGAAAAAAATTAGTTTGTGAATATTAATTATTTGAGGGTTTTTATGTATATATTAATAGTAAATATATTACCATAAGTAGCAACAAGACTAATAAAGGGAGTTTCATTGAAATTGGAAATTTATAGAGAGGTATTTAGCGAATGGGCAGAATGAGCTCGTGGTCATCAAGACATCACCATTGGGCATCATTATCGATTAGACTTTCTTTATGTCGCGATCGATTCACAAATGCAAAAAATTAATGTGCGTTTTAGTGAAGATGCGACAGAATTGCTCATGCTTAGTTCTGCCTTAAATCCTCAAAATGCATCTGAGGCTTTGAGAATACAAGATATATGCAAATTGGTTGGCAAGTTTTATGCACAAGATTTTACAAGTGAAGAAAAAGAGAGTTTCAAGATGCAACTGAAACATTATGAGCATAATGTAGTCAAAGGGTCAGACTTCAAAACTCTTTCAACCATTTCTGAGTTGGGTCAATGGTTGGTAAAGACTAATAAATCTGCTACATACGACCTCATTTCTAGAGTGATCGTACTTGTGCTTACTCTTCCAGTTTCTACCGCTACTGCAGAACGATCATTCTCAGCTATGAATATCGTCAAGACTAGACTTCGAAGCAAAATGGAGGATGCTTTCCTCTTCGACGCATTAATGGTGTTTATTGAAAGATAAATTGCTAAAAGTCTAAGCATTGATGCTATCATTGAAGGTTTTGAAAATTTTAAGGAACGTCGAATTCCTTTTAGTTAGAGAAATTTTAGTTATAAAAAAAATAGAAGGTGCTTATTTGATTATTTTTTATATAATATTTATCTTCCTCTTTTGAAATATTTTGGAGATATTGATGTTGGCTGTTCTACTCGTTTTATGTGGGTTGTGATATATCTCTTGTGAATAAAATTACATTAAGAAAATTTTTTATCTATCTTTTGTACGCGGCCCCCCTAGAACTAAAATCCTGGATCCGCCCCTGCCCATCAAGCCAATTTTTTTAAAGCAACTGCAAATAGTATAGGTTTGTGTTATGTGGGCAAGAAAAACCCATATCTTTAGGGAGAGGGGCATATATTTATCACTTTAACACAAATATTCAGGTTTGGGAGTTAAACCTGCAATAAGATATATCTGAGGATACACATATAGGTAAAAGGGGGGAAAACTTCTTTTTTTTTTAGGGGTGGGGGGTAGATTATTGAATTACCACATAGAGGATGCTCCAAATGCCAGAATCATGGGAATGCCAGAGATCAATAGAAGATTCCACAACCTCAATCGAGAAAACGCCACCAGAGATTGCCCCAATTCCTGCTCCTCTGAATAACCCACTCTCGGTTGCCAACCCAATCAAACCGCCAGTAACTGCTCCTGCCAACAAACCCACTGAACCCCAAACCAAGCCAAAAGATCAAATTTTGATCCGTGCAATGAAATCAACACGCGCAGAAACAACGGCCCAAGTCATTAAATTGAGCAGGGAGCAAACCTGTAGCAAAGACACAGGTGATAATAGTGCGGATGAGCTTCTCAGTGAGTTGGGAAGCTAAGGAGCTCGCCCCGCTTCTTCTTCCATCGGGATTTGAGGCGATAACAGAGGACAGGGAAGAGGAAGGTGATGAAGGGACAGAGAGAAGATCCATGGCCAAATTTTGGAAGAATTTGAGATGGTTTTTTTTCTTATTTTAACAAATGACTTGCTGTAGATATTGAGTTATATAGGAGAGAGATGGAGAAAGACGGATGGGCCAGTACGCAATCAACGTATTTTCATGGGTGCAGAAAATATCTAAGAAGACTTTGTGTTTTTTGTTTGATTCGTTTCATCAGCCAAAGGATTTGGAGGTAGTTGAGAGAAGATGGGGTTTTTACTGCTATTTCTTGGGTAAAATTCGCTAGAACCCCCTGTATTTGTCCCATTTGGAGATAACCCTACTTACTTTATCTGTCTCTTGACCCCCAGCTTTTGGGGTAAATATCACGACATTCTCTAAGGGGGTGTTTGTTGAAGTTTTTTTTTGGGACATAGGGTGGATTTCAAGTTTTGGGATGTAAAAAGTGTTTTTTTTGAGTTTTGGGATTCCATTAAGGCATTAACTTTGTTTGTTTCAAAATTAACTTTGGGATATTGAATCCCTAAATTATAAAAAAAATAATATATTTTTAGGATTTGTGAAATCCTCCCTTTTGTTTCAACTTTTTTTTGGGATATAAAGTGGATTACAAGATTTTTGGGTTTTAGAATTCCATAAACAATGTTAGTTTCAAAACCAATTTTGGGATATTGAATCCCCAAATTATAAAAAACTATTATATTTTAGAATTTGTGAAATCCTATTTTTGAGAGAGGATTTGGGTTGGTTATTGCACCTATATATTATTAAAAAACTATTATATTATATTATATTAGCATGCTATACTATACAATAATAAATATAATATAAAATTAATATATTATATATAATATTATAATAATATAATATTTAATATAATACATCTATTCCTCTATTAATAATAGGAGGACCCAAGAATCACTATTCATGCTGTAGTAAATGCTGCAATGATATATTATATATATTATATAATATATATTATATTATATTATATATATATATATATATAATATTATATATATAATATTATATTATATAATATTAAGATTAATAATATTATCACTTGTGTTATAATAATTAATATAATATAAGATTAAGACTAGGCAAATTTACAATAATTAATATAATATAATATTAATATATTATATATAATAATTAATAATATAATATTTAATATAATACATCTATTACTCCTATAATAATAGGAGGACCCAAGAATCACTGTTCATGTGTTGTAGTAAATGTTGCTAGTAAATACTGTAGCATTATATATATATTTTATACATTATATATAAAAATATATATATAATATAATTATATATATAATATATATTTATACATTATAATATATATTTTATACATAATACATCTATTTTATTATGTATATATAATATATATTTTATACATTATATAATATATATTATATATATAATATATATTATATATTATATATATATATGTTATTAAAATATTATAATTAATATAATATATTATATAATAATATATGTTATTAAAATACTATGTAATATTATAATATATATGTTGTACTATTATATAATATAGTATGTGATATTGCATAATAATATATAATAAATATCATAAAATAAATTATACGTATAAATTACAAACTACAGTATTCCAAATCCCAAAATATTGATGAAACAAACAAAATATTACAAATTATAGTATTCCAAATCCCAAAATATTGATGAAACAAACAAAATATTACAAATTGTAGTATTCCAAATCCCAAAATATTGATAAAACAAACAAAATTTTAGAGATCCCAAAACCCAAAAAAAAATCTATGGATTTCAAATTCTATGGTGAAATCCATATCCATAAATTTTGGGATTTGAAACAAACACCCCCTAAAACTGTCGTAATTTTTTCAACGTGCCCCTCTAAATTTCAACGTTATTATCAGAAAATCCCCATACTTCTAACACTGTTTTTTATAAAACCTCCATAAACTTTCGGTAAAGTTCAAGAAAACATCGTTAAGGGGGCATATTGGAAATATCACAAGTGTGCGGAGGATGTTTTGACATGCCGGAAAGCTATGGGGACGAGTGATATTTTTAAAAGCTCACGGAGGTTTACCTCAAAAGGAGCCAAAATATATGGGGTTATGTGAAATTTACCCTTTTTATGTTGATTGACTTGGTAACAATTTTAATCTTGGGTGATTAGCGAAGAAGTGATTATCTTGTTGGAAGTTTTCCTCTTTTTTTTTTTTAAATTTACAACTTGTGTATAGGTATTTCCGAAATAACCCCGTTAACTCTCAAAAAGTCGCCAAAGCCCCTGTAAGATTTGTCAGAAATCAAACTAGCGTCACTAGTTATGAGGAAGCTGAAATTTTGGTGAAAATTTCCGCTCATGAAGTGGCGAGAACAGTGAAGAAAAGCAATGTAATTGAAGACCGAAAGGATTTAATAATTTCATAAACAACAAATATACGCTGATGATATTGTAGAATATAGAACGAGTGAATGCCCGTGCATTACACGGGTCCAAGATTACTAGTTATGAAGAGTTTGGTGACCAATATTGATAATAAAATAACTCGTTAATTTCGCTTAGCCGCAGAAATAGTTGATTCACTGTGTAGTACATGCCGTCATCAATCTCAGACCTTGGTATTTCGGTGCATTGTACTCGCTCATATTTTGGTATGTGAGATAAATTGTTGGGCCCCAAGGTTTGGACCCAAGACAACGACTTTTGGAAACATTTATTAAAAGAGTTTCACATGTAATACAATTCTATTTCTACACTTAATAGTTATGGAAAGAGTTTTAAACAATTAAGAATTGTTTTGAAATTAAAATACATAAGCCAAGTTTAATACTATATATAAGTTCATATGTAGCCTTGTGAAAAAAAAAAGAATTAGAGAAATAAAAAATTGAGTACCTATCTCTGAATATTGCTCCTCTTCAATGACAAGTAGATTTCAGCTGAAAAGTTTTTTTTTCTCTCTTGAGGAAGCTATTTCAGATTGGTCTTGAGATAGATTATTGAAGAAATTCAGTTTCAGGTATTCTTCTAATTTTTTTTTAATTCTAATTTATTACCATGATATGCAAATTCTACCATGTCGTATGTCGTGCTCCCAATTGTTAATATTAGAGCACGTTTAGAATCTAATCTTTGACGTTAAATTAGATTACTTCATTGAATTATTATGATTTTACTCATGATTTTGGGATGATTTAATTAGATTATATTAAAAGTTTGATTAGATCAAAGGTTACTGTTCGCGGCTTATACTGTTGATTCGATCAATACAAGGGTTTAATTGTTCATATTTCGATAAGAATCATGTAACGTGGTTTTCAGTTTGACTAAGTTGATACCATTACATCATGATGCTCTTCAGGATAGTAATAGAATAGTTACTATTTGATAATATTTGATGATTTTACTCGTATTTGAACGTAAGTCACGGCTACAAGTTTTCGAACTTCATCAAATGAGATGTAAATCATGAAATTTCTAATTCTGTAGATCTTCTAGAATTTTTTTTACTACAATACTGACATTTGAAAGTTGTTTTGAGAATTGAAATATCCGATTGGGTTAATTGTGGATTGACTTTTTGTATCGGGTAGCATCTCATTGCTGATAGTCATGTAGAAAGTGGACATATTTACTGAGAAGCAGGACTGACACAAGTCCAAACGCGGACCCGATCGAAAAAAATAACTTACAACGAAGAACGGGTCATATCTCTCGAACAACCATAAGTTCATGATTAGTTCAAGCTCATGGTTTTCGTGAGCTTGCATTGTAATGAAGGAACCTATGCTGGGCCAAACTTTAACAGATAGAAATTTGGGCTGGGTCAATTTAGAAGTAAAATAGGCCTTTTGCACAGTGGGGAGCTGGGCTTTGATTCAAAGTTTTGGGACTTAATAACAGTTTTTCTCATGCACCAGAGAGAAATCATGGTAGGTTTATGAAAAAAAAAAAAAGTCCTCTCGCAATTTTTTTTAAGTAGAAGCCTAACCTGTTAATCGTATACCAAATTGTCAGCAAAATGTTGCCGTATTTTCTTCAAGGAAACCACGACATCAATGCACAACCAATACCCAAATGAACCACAAATTCCTCTCATATGATGATTGGGCAAACCGCAATTAATTTGTACATATGATGATTGGGCAATTTTATTTTTTTGGTAAGTTCGTAGTTTGTTTGATTACCTGAAAATTTTGAAAAATATTCCTATCTCTATGAGGACTCTATCTCTAAACTTTTCCGTATCTTTATAAGGTATGCAAATTAATTATTGCAAATAGAAGACTCTATCTCTATCCACCCCGTATAAGCAATCAGAATTATTTGTCACGGTTTGCCAATTAGCACAATTATTCAGCAGAATAACTTAGAATAGACATGTGATATGATAATTAAAAGGTCGATAACAATTGATGAATTTGATGGTCATATGTTTCACTTATTATAGCCCTTCAACGTGCTGAAACTACATTTAGCGATCATCATATGTGCATATTATCCTATCAGCATTTATTTGAATTTGGTATATGATGCTACATTATTGTTACTGACATGCACCGTGATTTTGTAAGAAACTATGCACATTTCATTGGTTGTTTGTTTTCTGATCTCAGATCTGTGTATTTGTATGTTCTCAGGTTATTTTTTGATGGCGCGCGTTCCTGATCGTTCCGATCACAAGGCAACGGAAACATCGAGGTCAGAAGAGAACCCCGAGAGATGCAAGAACACCCTTCGACTCGTACTAAAATTGCCCAATCATCCCAGGCACGACGCAGATAAATCTACAAATCTCTCTGTCGCTGACGAACAAACCAAAGCGTGCAACCCCTCAGAACTCAAGCCTGTACATGTTACCTTCGGAAATGCGAGAGAAGAAGCGTCGATCAACGGATCACCAAATGTCGAAGCTAGAGAAATCTACGGTATGCACCCTTGTACGGCCTGCGACAAGTACTTCCATTCTCTCAAGGCACTCCACGGGCACATGAGGATCCACAACAAGGCTCATCCGAAGAAAGAAACGAAAGAAGGCGGCAACAGAGAAGAAGTTACCACGACTTTGAACCAAATATGCGATCCGAACATCCCTGGGAACGAGGCCTTAAAGTGGAGAGCAAAAGGAAAAAGGACTCCTCAAGAAGACCCCCCCGCTCTTATACATGATCCTGATGTACTAAAGGGTGCCAGAGATCTCATGTACCTCTACAACGGACGAAAAGAATCGAATACGAGAGAGATTAATGAAGCCGAGAAGACAGAAACCACGGT